AAATCTGCTTTAAATGGAAATAATAAAGTAAAGTAGGAATTGCAGAGTTAATAAAATACCAAGCTCTTGGGTCTTTAATATCTGCATAGTGTCCAGGTCATGGTGAATGTGCTAAGTTGGACATAAGGCATTGCAACTGGGACCTATGAAGAATGTGATGACCTGGCCCTTAAAGGGTATGGTTCCTAGTCCTTTCGCTCCAGGTCACTTGCCAGTTTAAATCCTCAGCAGGTCACACACTCCTGGGAATTTATACTTTTCTTAGATATTGACAGCATGATTCAAGGTTGCTATTTTTATCAGGCAAAAAACTTAAAGTGCTTTGACGTTCAAAAGCATTCTAAACTAAGCCTGTGCCATTTTCAAATTTACAATTACATTTTGAAATTTACAAGCAGAAATGTTGTAAGATATTAGACCCACCAGTATTTCGATTCTATTGAGGGGGGGGGGGAAGAAAAGAATTCTCACTCAGAACTATAATTTTCTTCATAAATGAAAACTGAGGCCAGGAAAGGCAAGACCTTTATTTCCTGCTATGTGGAATATAGCTGGCTGATGAGAGCAGCTGAATATCAGCTTGGTTTCTGGTAAGGGATCAATATAGCAACTGTCCGGCAAGAAGAGTACCCACTTGGCCTTATTAAGTGGCAACAAAGAACATAGCACAGGCAGTTTTGCATGCCACGAGATTCAAGGTATATACGCTTTGATAATATACCAGCATGCCTAAATCTGGATGCTGGGGGGAAATGCTTCTTAGTTTGATTATATGTTCAGAGACAGTGAGGGCAGGATCTAAACAGCTGCTTCAGGTGAGGACAAAGGCTTTGCACACAGTGGGATTTTGATTGTTTTTCTTTGAAGCCCAAAGTGGTTTGCAAGTCAACACAGGAACGCAATTTAGTCCAAGATGCACACTCTGCTTTGGCATGTGGAACTAGTAGCATGGCTGCTGCCATGGATCCCACCCAGAATGTTAGAGGAGTATCCTCATATTTTGAAAACCTGCTGGTTTACATTTCAAAGCAGAGATGAGAAACTTTGGCCCTCCAGATGTATGAACTGCAGATTCAGTCATCTCTGACCAGTAGCCATGCTGTCTTGAGGTGAAGTCCAAGAACATATGGAGGGCCAAAAGTTCCCCATCCTTGTTCTGACATATGCAAAAACAAACAAACAAACAAAAATATGCATTAGCTAAACTTGTTGATTCAAATTTACAGTATATTTAGATGCAAAAGACCATAAGAGCTGTAAAGAGAGTTATAGCTGTGTTTTGCTGCTTGAACAGTCCCTGCCCTGCACTGAAGCACAGCTAAGGTTGAAACTAGGTTTTTGTACCAATCATCCAAATTGTTTACATAAAGCCCCATAGCATTTAAGTTAAGTTCTGTTTCCCATGATGTTCAACTATTACTCTAAAATATGGTGTTATATGTCTTCCTCTGATCAAAGCTTATTGCATAACCTGCAGTTTAGCTCAAAAGTTGTTACAATTTTATGGGATGGATATATTCATAGCCATCATACGGATATATACTTACCATATAAATTTGGTTCTAGTTAAAGATGATGTATTACAAAAAAGAATAAATAGTGCACAAGCACTAAAATTAAGTGAACATAAATTGAAGTATGTAAGAAAAACATCAGATTAGCATTCTTTAAGTAAGGCATAAACTTAATCTTTTTAGATGGTTATCATGAAGGAGATGAGGAAAGAGAGTTCATTACTGTTCCAATGATGGCATTACTGCAAATACTAAACTCCATTATTGCAGATGCACAGTGTAAATGCAACTTCAGCCTGCTGGTATTGATTTCTTTTTATGCCATTCCTAGCAAATGTATATGGTGGCATGTAAATAAACATCTGGATTCATAATTTAAGGAATGGTGTTGTTATTTAATCATCCCAGCAAAGTACTTAGTGACACGAGGTCTGCAGACGTAAGTAGAAAAAAAAATAGTGAGCTAGAGAAAAAGCAGATTTTAATGCTGATGAGACTGTATTGCTGTGGACCCCATAGCTAAAAAGCATGCCCTGAAATATCTTATAATTTTATGATAATTATGAGGCACACAGCTAGTGGGACTGTGGTTACAATCAAACACAAGACCTAAGCATGCTTTCACCCATTGATTTAAAATAGGATTAAGCTTGCTTAACACAGAGTTGGTTCTGTACACGGTCTTTGATTATTAGATCAACCAGCTTTAATCTAGACAGAGGGACCAAGCTATTGCTTGGTACATATTTGCCATTCTGTGGTTCCACCTAGGGACTACAATGCTTGTAAACTGTCTGTTGGGATCAGGCAGCTCTTTTTACAGAGTTTTGTAGTTCTGCTACTTTGGCGACTCAACATTCCTGATGACTCCTGTGATCCAAAAGTACTGTGTAAGTTTTAAATTATAAATGGAGCCACTGCCGCACAAAAGTATTTTATGGGAAATTACTTTGTTTTGAAGTGTGGGTGTGAGTTGGAACAAACATATGAACCGACCCTTGGTTCTGCATTTCTGCCACCACCACCCACACTCATCCTTAAATCCCTCAAAAGGTTTTCCAAGTTTTGTAAGATGGACCCCAGTTTTGTGTGACTTGTTACTGGTACTGAGCAGGCAACTGCCGAGGAGGCAGAATTGCACAGCTCCAACCTAATGAGAAAAATATTCTGGGGAAACACAACTTAACCACCCATTCCAGACCTTTAGAACAAGATGTTGCCTCTCTCATCTCTGATCACTCCCCTTTCCCCTTGTTCTGTGCCAGTCTCTTCCATTCATTTATGTAGAATATGGCAAAGAGGATACAGTCTGGAAAACATTTCGAGGAACCACGATCCCTTACCTTGCCATGTACAACAAGATGCAAGGGACAGAAATGCAATAACATTTTGCCTAGGCCAACAAAATAGCTTGAGTGAGCACCTTAGGTTCTTCATAGAACATGAACACTGATTCACAAGCTGGGGTGGCAGAACTGAACATAGCCAAGTAGGCATATTGAAGTTCTTCATTATGAGCTAGTTAATGTGGCTTGGTGCAACAGTACAGTCAGTAGCTAATGATATAAATCAGAAATGAGGAACCTTTGGCCCTCCAAACGTTGCTGATCTGAAGCTCAGTCCTTGACCATTGCCCATGCCCACTAGAGCTAATGGGCGTTCAACAACTTCTGAAGCACCAAAGGTTCCCCATTCGTGATGTCCTTCTGAGTTATAGGGACAATACAATGCTTGACCTCCTGTATCTGGAGTTAGTGCAAGATAGTGGTTTAATAGACTGGGCTCCCTGATGCAGGAAGTCTCTGGTTAAAATTTCACATCAGCCATGAAATCAACAAGTGGTCTTAGGCAAGCTCTTTTTTCCCCTCTCCGCTTCAGTCTCCCTTCTGCAACAGGCAGATAATACTGACATATAATTGTTGTAGGGAGATACTTTGAACACTAAAGTACTGTAGGGGCAAGTCTTTGCTAATCAACTTTCAACTGAAAGTTGCCTCTGGTTCACCCCCCCCCCCCACTGTCATCTACAATATGCACTGATTTTTTTAAATTATGAGGAGGATGCAGATACTCATGTGTAATCATGTTTGATCAAACAGTGAATTATTCTATATATTCAGTACAAGCAGCCTTCATTTTCACATTAAAATATTTTACACTATTATAAATCTTCACCCCAAAAATCAGTTTAAAATTGGTTTTAATTAGATGCATAGAAAAAGGCACACCATGTGTCAGATATTTAGGGTGTTTGGATAATTGAGACACACATAGCTCTCTTTAAGCATTAAGGTACAATGATATTTTTCCTTCTGTCAGCTGAAATGTTTTGGACTCCTGTTGTGTTGTTGGCAGGAGTTAATATGATTGTTCCAACAGCACACAATCATTTTTCCTTGTAGTGTTAAGTTGCACTAGGAATGTGAATCTATGCATAATTGAAGTCTTTCTGTTTAAATTTATATGCAAATATAACTCACAGTGAATGGCAGTTGAACAATGCTGAAAAATGCTCAAAGCAGTATAAAACGTAGGGAGAAAAAAAATGAAAAGGTGAAAAAGTCTACCTACATATTAGTAATATGAGAGTGCTTTTCTTAAAAAAAAAGATGGTGCTTTAGCGTAACGAGAAAGCCGGAAAGCAAACTGTTTCTGGTGAATGGGAAAGTTTTAAAAAAGTGGAAAGTAAAATGTTGGTACCAAGCATTTCCAAAAGATCAAAGGGAAATTTCAAGGGACAAAATGATTGATTTCAGCTAGATGAAATTAGTGAAATTACAAGGAATCTGATTTCTTTAAGGTGGTAATCCCAGAGGATGCTTCTCTAGAAGACACGTCAATAATTACAATTCTAGTGTACCTGTCAAACCAGAGAGACTACAGAAGTTACTCTTTTGATGAATCCACTGCTACTTCTCTGCCCTTCCAATTCAGCATTGGTTTATATAAGAAAAATGAATATTCTGTAGTCATAATGGAGTTATGGAACTCTGTCTTCTGCCTATCCATTCACTCATAGGTGTGTTCTACACTGTTCCCCTCCCTGATTCCCAGCACAGAAAGATCTTAGTAAGAGATTAAATCATGTTATAGATCAGATATCCTGTAGGGTTATTCATCTGGTGTCTAATGCTTCACTAACAAACAAATAAATGGTAAATGTGATTTCAGCCCCAATAGTATCATCTGCAGATAATGTATCTTTAAATATGGGTTCTAGTTTGAACCCATATTTAATGAGAATACTTTGGCTGTGCTGATGGGAGCATGGAAGTTTTTCAGTCCCTTGTTAATCTTATTACACCCTCAGTTATCTAAATTTTTAAGTCATCTGAGGATCCAGACAGGGTAGAACAACACTGAACTTGATAAATTAATAAAAATGGCTATTTGTACAATTTGTTTCTGTGACTTCGTTCACTTGGCCAGATAAAATCTAACAATACAACACAAACTAAGTGCATGGTGAAATAAACCTTCACAGTGTTCCTTAGTTCAGTTGGGAGAGCATGAGACCCTTATTCTCAGGGTCATAGGTTTGAGCCCCACTTTGGGCAAAATATTCCTGCATTAAAGGGGGTTGGACTAGATGACCCTTGTGGTCCCTTCCAACTCTACAATTCTGTGATTCTGTTATTCAATGAGTAAGTCAGCTAAGTGTCTCTGTACAGAGGGAGTTGCACAAGTACAGTGGTACCTCGGGTTACATACGCTTCAGGTTACATACGCTTCAGGTTGCACACTTCGCTAACCCAGAAATAGTACCTCAGGTTAAGAACTTTGCTTCAGGATGAGAACAGAAATCGTGCGGCGGTGGCGGCGGCGGCAGGAGGCCCCATTAGCTAAAGTGGTGTTTCAGGTTAAGAACAGTTTCAGGTTAAGAACGGACCTCCGGAACGAATTAAGTACTTAACCCAAGGTACCACTGTACTATGAAAAAGACCCAGTTAATGTTTAGTGTGGGGATTTAACACTGAAGTGGAGAAGCATGAACCTTATAATGTTAGTTCTGTCATGCAACCAGAGGTAAATTGCTTGTGGAAATGTAAAATAGAGAGTTGCATGGCTGAGTGGAACAAATCCTTACTAAGTATGATAAATTCAAGGAGGGCCAGTGTGCTGTTGTGAATGCAAACACTGGACTTGGTCCAGGGAGACCTAGGGTCAAATTGCCACTCAGCCCTGCAGCTCACTGGATGACTGTGGGCCAGTCACTAACTATCTCTAAGCAAAATTAACCAAAGTGGATTGTTGGCAGGATAAAAGATCATGGACACTGCCTTGTTGAACTCTTTAGATTAGGGTTATCCAATATGATGTGCCACAGGTGTTGGGATACAACTCCCATCATCCCTAACTATTGGTTATGCTGGGTGGGGCTGATGGAAGTTGCAGTCCAACACTACCTCTACCCCTAATTTGGAAGAAATGAAACATACAAATAAATAAATTGCCTATGGATATAGTGTTCGAATGTTTTAGGACGGGCCATGTTTGTTTCTTACAAATTTAGTTCTTCTTGTATTACTGTCTGGGATGGCCATTGCGAAGAACACTAAAATATTTGTTTAACCGGTTTCCAAAAAGAAGAAGCTGTTCTAACAATTCACTTTAATTGATAAGAAGTAATCAGGAAGCTACTTGCTTGGTCCCCAGGAAAGCGAGCAAAAGGAATGGAAGCATGGAACAGAGGGAATTGAAAAATAACCCTTGATCTGCATGCTTCAGATTGGGGAATTCAGAAGTCTCTTAAGGGTTCGCCACTTGTGAATTATGCATCTCACACTCACTACTAGGCGTAAATGCATAATTCTAATCTGTTCTTATTATTTATTTATAACACACCGGTAGAATGTAAATTGTCTGCCTCCTTTGAGCAAGCTTATCATGCCATTTAAGGTATGCAGATATTTCAGGGGAGTCTACATAGACAATTTGCCTAGGCTAGCACATTGATTCCAATTAAAGGGCATATAAACTGCTAATGATAAATTAAACTTGTTCTCCCCAGCTCACAGGTGGGCTGCACAGGGGGTGTTGCAAGAGAAAGTCAACAGAAAAAAAGTATTCATCCTGAAATAATATGCAGAATGTATCTTAACCACTCTGGTTTTAATCCCCGCCTGCCCGCTTTTATAGTACGCAGTAAGGAAGAATATTGCATATAGATGGGGAAATAGCAGTTGCCTACCTTCTGGCAGGGGCGTTGAGTCCATTATGGACGGGGAAGAGGAGCAGGTAAAAATGTATGGATCATGACAGCTTATAAGTGGCTTGATGTTGACCTCATCTTCCATTAAAAAGCTAGTCCATTTCTAGCTAGTCAGCCCAATACTCATTGGGATGGGGGCAGGATTGCTAGGGTGGGACTATCCTGGAGATTAGTTTAGTTCACATCTGTGGATTAAAATGAAACCCAATCCAGGCAAAAGGCCATTGTTCATTTTGCCTTCCTCAACCATCTACCCTTTATGGAGAGGATTTGTCTTCCTTTACCATAGACATAGGTTGGTTGCTGACTAATGGAACTGGAAAAGTTTTTTGTTTGTTTTTTAAGCACACCTTTGGGATTGGCCAACATTGGTTATGGATTCTTACTTTCCTCATAGCGATAATTTTTTTAAAAAAATAAAGTTCAAGAGTTTAGTGTTCATAACATCACAACTGGGCTTTGTAACCAAGCAGGGAAATATTTTCAGGAGAAGCTAAGCAGATGGAAGCCTGTGTGTGTGTACAGGCAAGTACATCATATGGACTGCAATGCACTGTGTCTATGGGCAACGTGGAGAAGCTCACGTTGTTCGCTGTCTTGTAGCATATTTCTACCTTGGTTGATGTAGCAGGTAGGCATTGGTTTCCCCTTTGAGCAGTCACAGCAACATCAAAGTGGCCTCTCTGTCTACTTCACACTGTCAATGGAAGCAATCAAAAGTTGTAGCTGTTTTCAGCGCAGCTCATTGTGTCTCTCCTGACTGTCCTTCATCTCCCACTTCCTCCCAATTGAGGATACAACCAGAGCTCTGTACTATGATGGTCCAGAAATGACTGCTATGTATTACAGGCAACTCCCAATTTACGTGGGGATTACATACCAAGGCACTGCGCGTTTAAGTAAAATTGCATATATTTGAAACACTATAGAAAAACCCTGCAAACAGCCTGACTCCATTCTGTTCAGGTCACTTCCGGGTTTGACATGATACACGTGCAGAGGCGGAGCTAGCTGCTCTGGCACCCGGAGCGGCGCACACCCGTGGGTGGGGCTAGCTGCCCATGGGAGTGGGGCGAGTGTCGCGGGCGGGTGCAGTGGTGTCAACCCTGAGGGGACAGACCGCCCCCACCACACACCCCTTCCTCCAGCAGTGTGTGCGTCTATGGTCACACACACATTGGACATGCCTAAAACGGTCGCTGCCTATATATTATTTCTATACTGCCTAAAAATTAGTTGTTTTTAGTTATAACTCCAGTGTATTTTGTACACAAGAGATATATATGAGTACTGTATTCCTGAACATAGGTAGTAATAAGGAGGAAGTGGGAGGTAGGGGACTTCCTTGAACATTAAAAAGAATTTGTTGGCATTTGTTCAACTTGTCTTATCCTTCAGTACCCAACCTAGCTTTTCTAATCTATATACCTTTCTTGTTTTCCATCCTTTCCCTATCAATCCCAGTCCTATCTTTGTTCAAATATTTTAAAAAATCAAATACTTCAGTTTCTGTGTCTTAGGTGGAATCCACACACACACCAGAAATGTTGTAAAATGCTTTTTAAAAAAAAGTTTTGAAAAATATATTGAATTCGCCATAGCTCACAATCGCCATCTAGAGTCACATTTGTATAATGCACTTTACAACACAATACATTTTTTTTTGCAGCTGTATGGCTGAGTCCTTAGTCTTAGTTACATAGGCAGCTTCACAATTCTCTTATTTTACCACCACCACCATTTAGGCCCTGATTTTTAAGGTTAGGTTTGCATTTTTTTTTACAGCTGCGTTCTTTTTTCCGTGTTTGTCTTTACTATTACTTTATTTTGCTAGTTCTTTATTTTCCCCCGAAAAACCAGACTTTACTTGTGGCTAGCACAAGAATTCCTGCACCCAACTATCTGTAATTTGGCTGGGTTAATCCCCTCAGGAGGTGCTACTCAGTCTCCAAATTCCATGCACCTATTTGATAAAACAAAAAAGTTATGGGGTATTTTGGTTTTTTTGGGGGGGAGAGGTAGTCTACTGTTAAAAGAAAATTTATTCTGGACACTTGAAAAAGTCATCAAGGGTTTTTGCACATGTGTTCAGCAGGAATGCTTGAAAAGTCCTACTGACTTTGGTGCTCCCGTTTGCCTTCTCTCGGTGCCAATTATTTATTCACTTCTTATTTTACACTTCTTGTTTGATGTGTGAACTGTTTGGGTGTTGGATTATGCAACTGGATTTTGCTTGTCAGGACAAGGCTGTAGCACATCAAGGAACAGGTAAATCTGTTCAGCTGAATAGAATGTGAAAGGAGCATTTCCCCAAACGTGCTTTAGAATGGAATCCTCAGCTATGGCTGACCTCTGCTTACTTCTACAACAGTCGACCATGATAGATTGCATTACAGCTTCACCATCCTTTGTTCTGTCATTCAGTCCTAATTTACTGCTTGTAGTGCACAGGAAGCCAAGGCTAGCTGGAAACCTATTTTCAGTGCCAAAATGGGAGCATACAAAATAATAATTAGGGTGAGAATGCCTTTGAACATGCACAGAATGTCTTCCACCGAAGAACCATAGCCAGTCTCTATTACTGTGGAATTATGAGAGCTAATCTTGCAAGCAGGAGAGTCTGAGCTCCACAGGGAGGGAGGCAAAGACAATATTGGGTTGTTAGATTAGGTTTATTTACATAATGTTTCCCACACAGAAGTCAAGAAGCTATTTACAGTGAGCATAAAATACCATAATAAAGATCCACCAGTAAAAAGAGAATACAAACATCCAACCATTGGTGCTGCCCGGGAAAACAAAAAATGGCTGGTGCCGATACGATGACAAAGCTGGCACCAGGTGGGCCTACCTGGTGAGAACATTCCATAGAAGGTGGGCAGCATAAGTAAAGGACCATTCTTTCCTCACCATCTTCCAGTCCTCCTCTCTGGTGTGGCACTTGGAGAGCAGTCTGCTCCTGTCCCCAGCTGGACTCCCCTCCTGCCCAGCACCTACCAACTGCCCTGCAGGAACTATTCCAGGAAAAAGAGGGGAGAGTTGATTATAAGACCAATGGTCTGTTAAGTGTGCCATTTTATTACCTCAAGGATACAGACGCTTCAGGTTACAGACGCTTCAGGTTACAGACTCCGCTAACCCAGAAATAGTACCTCGGGTTAAGAACTTTGCTTCAGGATGAGAACAGAAATCATGTGGCAGCGGCGCAGCAGCAGCGGGAGGCCCCATTAGCTAGCGTGGTACCTCAGGTTAAGAACAGTTTCAGGTTAAGAATGGACCTCCAGAACAAATTAAGTTCTTAACCCGAGGTACCACTGTATTTTTATCTTGTGATGAAGGGCAGTATATAAATTGAATGAATAATAATAATAATAATAATAATAATAATGCCTCCACACATTTTTACATATGCTGTGAGCTGCTTTAAGTAGTCCATTTCGAAAGTGGGTTATAAATTTACTAAACAGCTAACTACTGACAGAGCAACATTGGAGTACAAATTGTTGCATTCACCCTGCCAAGTGTGATGTGGACACACATGTACAACTCGCCACATACTTGTAAAAAAATAATATGAAGTGAACTGGAAAAGTTATTGAGAATATCTTAAAAACCGTTGCCACATTTTACTCAGGTTTGCATTCTTCACTCTGTAAAATGTGCAGGTGTTTTGTACATGGAAGTTCTGCTGATGTATAAAGCATAGCATACAAAGCTGCCTTAATTCTGATTAAAACCTGGCACCTCTCATTTTGGCATGCTTTCACTCTCAAAACTCAAAGAAACCCCAGATTTAGTGTTAGTGCCTGACCCATATGATCTGATTTGTCAGATCAACTGAATGAATAGACTTTGCTTCCAAGTAAGCGTATTTTGTATGAGGATGTAAGAATCAGATTTGCTGCGATTAGTAAAGCACTTTTCCATTTATAGTGATATAAACCTGATGTAACAGAATTGTAAAATAATTGTCCAAAATGGTTTTCTCTAAAGCAGGATTTCTATTAGTAGCACTAAGGTTGAAATGACTTTGGTATTATGCATATCCTTATTGAGTTCAGTGAAGTTGCTCTTTGTTTATATGCAAGCAAAGACATTTCAGGATTGGGACCAGTATGTTTGACTCCTCACTAATTGAAATGAGAAAGCAAAGAAATATTCATTAAGCCATGGATAGCGATGTAATGACCTCATTTAAACCAGCCATGCAAGGAAATTCAGATTTAATACTGAAAAATATGGCTAACGGTAGAGGCCAATATATGAACCTTATGCAGATGGATATTTACATAGATAAACCACATTTAGGTTAGCTCTGCTTCATCAGGATGATGATAGGAATTTGAATCTTGATTTGCAACTTCTTTTTTAAAAAAGCAAATTGTAAAAATATGGCCAGTTTCTGAATTTTAATTAAATTCTTAACATGTATTTTTCAACTTCAGGTCAGCCAAAATTTTGCTGCAGAATGTTTAGCAATTCTAGCATCAAAGCCTGAATATAAATAAGCTTAGACTGTGTTTCAGTTTTCTTTCAAGCCATGCAGAAGAAAGCAAAGCCTTAAAAAGTATCTTTCCTCATCAGTAAATAAACACAACATGTTCCCACACTTCTAGAGTGGCTTATTTTGTTATATGGAAGTAATTTTTTTTGGAAACAACATTTGAGGCCTTTGTTACTCTTCCTAGAGACGCCTCAGAAAGCATTATTTATAGCTTCCAAGGTTCACTAGATTTTAACACAATATCACGATGGTTTAGGTGTCAGTGACACCATAAAAACAGTCTCTGAAACTTCATATGCACATCAGTTTTTTGACAGGAGCTATTACATTGATGTCACTCTGTACACAACCAATCACCACTGGTGTTCCACCAGCTGTGCTATTAACCAAAGCGAAATGTTCGTAACCTATAGTCTTGATTCTGCATGCTGGGCAGAGTTATAACCCCTCCCTTCATTTTTCGGAAAGCATATACATGATGGATAGTGAAAAAAGAAAAAGCAGTTCCCTTACCAGGGGAGTTGTTAGGGTTGTGTACAAGTTTAGGAACGTGTCTACATAATAAAGAGATTCATAGTGCAATTGTATGCATGCCTACTCTGAAAAACTCAATTGAGTACAGCAATGCTTATTCCTAGGTAAATGTGTATGTGTATGATGTTTGTGACTGGTGCAGGGAGGGCCGAAAGAATGGACGCTGGATTCTGGTGTTGGGCTGGATTAGGCCAGAGCTTTATTGCATCAGGAAGCCTACATTCTGCCTGATAGGAACCCAGTGGGGTCGACCCTGTGCTTCTGGGAGAAAACCTCCGTCACACATGCATTCCTGTTCTCCCTAGAAGCTCCACAGAGGTGTTACAGGGGTGCCTGTAGGGAACCAGAGTACTTATTCATCACATTGCAGAATTAAATTTTGGAATTTGCTCCCACAAGAAAGAGTGATGGCCAGCCATCTGGATTACTTGGATTGGACAAATTCATGGAGGATAAGGCTATCAGTGACTACTAACCACAATGGCTATACTCTGTGTTAAGTTGTGGGTGAACATATCAGACGACACAGCGATTCTTCAAACAGCTCTTGTTTATTCACAGGCCAGAACAGAACTGAACTGAAGGGTTCAGCCAGCCTGCTTATATAGAGCTCCACTAGAACGCAACAGTAACCATTTTCTGTAACTATCCAATCACTGAACTTCACTTTCAATCCCTTATTTGCATATGTGGACCTGAGTGAAAACTATCTACAGTATCCCCCTGCTAGCCCAGGGTGAGAACTTCAGTACATAACACTCTGCCTCCATGTTTGGAAGCAGTAAGCTTCTGAATATCAGTTGCTGGAAGCCACAGGAAGGGAGTGTGCTCTTGTGCTAAGGTCCTGTTCATAGGTTTCCCACAGGCATGTGGCTGTCCACTGTGGGAACAGGATGCTGGACTAGATGGACCACTTGCCTTGATCCAACAGAGCTACTCTTATATCCTGGTGTTCTTAACAGTAGCTTTGAGACAGCAGCAGTCTTTAAACAGACTTCTGCCCATATTTTGCATTCATGGCAACTGGCACATCTCATGTTAAAGTAGGGTAAACATTTGAAGCTTAACTCAGAGCCTAGGACTTGCTGATCAGAAGGTCGGCGGTTCGAACCCCCGTGATGGGGTGAGCTCCTGTTGCTCAGCCCTGCTCCTGCCAACCTAGCAGTTCGAAAGCACGTCATGTGCAAGTAGATAAATAGGGACCGCTCTGGCGGGAAGGTAAACGGAGTTTCCGTGTGCTGCTCTGGTTCGCCAGAAGCAGCTTAGTCATGCTGGCCACATGACCCAGAAGCTGTCTGCGGACAAACGCCGGCTCCCTCGGCCTATAGAGCAAGATGAGCGCGCAACCCCAGAGTCGGTCATGACTGGACCTAATGGTCAGGGTTCCTTTTACCTTTACCTTTTTAGTTAAAGCAGAGCTGTGGCTCTTCAGCTATTGTACAGACGGTTGACGGGCCATAGCCCTGTGGTAGAGCTTCTGTTTTGCATGCAGAAGGAACTAGGTTCAATCCCTGGCATATCCAGGTAGGGCCGGTGAAGACTTCTGCTTGAAACACTGGATTGCCACTGTCAGTCTGTGTAGACAATACTCAGCTAGATAGAGCAGTGGTTTGACTTAGTGTAAAGTGTCTTTTTGTGTATGTGTTTGTTTGCTCCCATAATCTCTGACCCCCTGGCCAGGCTGACTGGGCTTCTTGGAAGCTGTAGTCCGGCAGGTTCTGGCCCTCCTGGGTTAAAGAATAAATGGTAGGAAGTGAAGACATAACTTTTCAGAAGAATAAAATAATGGGCAGAGACATGCCATTATTTTAAACAATTAAGATATTCTGCATTATAGCGTTGATAAGACATATGCCATTTTACAAATTAAAAGGGGCAACGGCTGACTTTTAATTTACTAATGTGGAAGTGAGTAATATTGTGATAAAACCTGTTCAATTTCTGTGAAGAGTTAAAAGAAAATCATTTCCTGCTTATTGGTTCATTTTGTAAATAGAGATCAATGAAATTCCTCCAACAAAAGCATGAAATCAATTGCAAAATAGCATATAATTTGTGATCTGTATTGTAAATTATAGTTTATTTGACGTTAATTGGTGAGGTTTCCATATACTGGGATGCATTTCCGCATAACACATCTCTGGATAATTCTCATGGATCCATTTCTAATGCATCTTAGAGTGATCTGTTTTTCATGCCCACAACTGCCTACATTTGCTCTTATGCAAATAACCCAATCAAGCAAATGGAAAACAAGATGCTGTAATCAGAAGGGGCTTGACAAACAGTAACCTTAGAGTTTTAGGGGAGTGCCCCGGATTTAGATTTATGTTCCTACCTGCATCTGTAGCAGCAATTGATCCATTATGAAGCACTTGAATAGGTCAATATCAGACAAGAAGTACAAATCGGATCAGATGTGGCAAGTAATTGATGCTGGTTTGATTTAAATGTGTGGTTTCTGTAGCTCACTGTTTGTAGGAAATGTAGCCTGGGCTCTTCTCGTGGGCACCTTTTCTCTCTCCCATTCTTGTGGCTACTTGTCATGCCACAAGACATGAGAGAAACTTCAATACGTTTAGAGGCATGCAGCCATTGTTTTCCTTAGTGAGTAATCCATTGCGGCTAGGCTTGAAAGCAGATTTATTCCCTGAGAAAGGCAGGAATAAATATAATAAAGGGAGAGAAAGGAAAGGCTGGGATAAATCTGTATATGATTAAAAAGACATATAAGGGTAGATTCCATGGTACATGATCAGATTAGGAAGGGTTGTAGGTTCGAAGAGGCTCAAAACCACTGTGACAGAAGACTGGTGCCAGAACCAAGAACATTCTACCACACATCATATTTCCTGTTACCAGCTCTGATCAGGTGCACCACTTCACCCAAAGCTTGAAGACTAGGTTTCCACCCAATGCCTTAACCTCCAAAAGTTGTGACGTTTTGCTTTGGGGAAAGGCAAACCTCTAGACCGGCCAATTTGTTTACAGGGAAATTCCTTCCTGGCTCCGAATACAGCAACCACAGCAAGGTCAGGAAACACTGTTGGAAAAATGCTCGGGGGGGGGGGGCTGCAAGCCCCCAGAACTTGAGTGTCTTCCGGTATGTGCAGCTCTGGAAAAGGCATCTCCCTTCTCTTCCAGTGCACTTCTAGCAACATACATCATAATGAGATATGCACACTAAGCCTCTGGCATAGCACAGCAAGAAGCGTGAGACATTGTAGAGCTAATCTACTACAGTGGTACCACGGGTTAAGTACTTAATTCGTTCCGGAGGTCCGTTCTTAACCTGAAACTGTTCTTAACCTGAAGCACCACTTTAGCTAATGGGGCCTCCTGCTGCCGCCGCGCCGCCATAGCACAATTTCTGTTCTCATCCTGAAGCAAAGTTCTTAACCCAAGGTACTATTTCTGTGTTAGCAGAGTCTGTAACCTGAAGTCTATGTAACCTGAAGTGTATGTAACCCGAGGTACCACTGTATATATTTACACACTGTGTACAAACCAAAGCATAATGGCATCCATTCTCTCCAGCTCCGAGAGAACAAACAGAAATAAATAAAAGCAAAAGAACAGTGTAATAGTACCCGCAGCAGAAGAGATAAGACTGTCTTCCAAATTGTTAGAATACAACCTAGGGAATAAAATGAGATTAAAGCAGCAACCTGAAAAGTGAAATACGGTTAAAATAATGTGAAATTGACCTAAAATGTAAATGAATGATTAAAGATGAGGAAGGGTGAAAGGGTTTTCTCTTCAGCCAACAGGGCTGTGGAAAGCAAGCGCAGCCAGCTCTCTCTCTCTTTTAAAATTTATTTTTATTAAAGATTTTCTTAGTTTACAAAACCTGGCACTGACATAGTAGCAGCTAATCCCTGGCCAGCCAGTGAGGCACTGCCCAGCCGGTGGGGGCTCTGATCGGCCCATTTGAAGCTGGAGTCAGGCAGCAGGTCCTACTTTGAGATTGTGCCAGCCAGGGGAATTCCCAAATGGACAGCAAGCATGCAATAGCTATCTGCCAGAATGGAGGCAAGGAGCCCCAACCACATCCCACCTGGAAAGGGTGAGCATCCATTGTATACTATGTCTTGGTTTTTTCACTTGAAATATTTTTATTTACTAAAGACTTAATAATTTCTACCATTTTTTCTTAACACCGATATATTCCATTTTAATAATAATTTTATTATTTATACCCTGCCCAGCCGGCTGGGTTGCCTCAGCCTCTTTTGGGATGAATTTCCACCATGGTACCCAGCCACCTTGACAATCTTGCTATTTTTGGCCAGCTTATTCCCTTTAGTCTATATTAGTCTCAGGTACACCATGATTCTGGAACACAACTACTTCACATTCACATTTCATAGTTCTTCCCTCCCTTTCCACAGAACCTTACAACTCAGCTATTGGAAGCTACATGAGCTGCACACATTCTGAATTTATTGCAGGGAGCCAGAAACCCAGAAGGTTGTTAGGATATAAAGAAATGTACGTTTTTAGGAAAAACAGTTAATGCTAGTAGAGGAAGAGCTAAATATGAAAGGAAGTGTGTGCTAATGTAGATAGGGCCTTACAGAAGGCTGCAGTTTTCAAGACCTCAGGGAAATTTCAAATATGAGATATTATGAAATATATCATAATAGCTATATGTAATATCTAACACATTTTATGAGAGAAAACAACCCTTTGAGCATATTAAGACTGATGTATATATGGGAGTGTTCATTATGTTTTATACATAAAACAGTATGAAACAGATTAATGCATATGCCTTTTTTCTATATTACATTTTCCTCTTTCGTTCAGTAGCTCGGTTTTGCAAGAAGATATATAGAACAAAATGAGATCAATAACTATGCTAACAGTGTTTATAATATTCTAACTCCACCACCACCACCCCGCTTAAAAGTGCAAAATACGTGATAGATAATTCTTTTCAGTGTTTCTGAATCCAGTCCTTTATGAAATCCTAAGGAAAAAACTAAGTGCCATACCTGTTTCCTCCTTTTGTAGAATTACGAGTTTTTGCAGCGCACCAGTTTCTCGTCACTGCTTGCACAATTGTTGGCTGTACTAACAGCTCCCAGGTCACCTTGTTTACAGCCCAGCTGCCACCAGCTCATGTGGATGCACCGGTCCTGACTGTTTTGGATTCTAAAACAATATATGCACAGTTAAGTATAGACTTTCCTCTTTCACCCGTGGTTTCAGTTTGGGACAAACTTGGCTGCTTCTCTTTTGGTCTCCAGGAATGCTCAACTTGCATGTGGCAGCAAGGGACTCCCAGACTGTCCTTGCCTAGTTGAGGGAAATCCTGGTTGGGGTCTTAGCAGAGTCTATGACTTCGATTCAAACTAAATGTGACTTTAAATGTGAGGTTATCTTTGATGTGTCTAGTTTTTCCCCTACCAGGAAATGGGTTTAATCCTCCCCCACTAAAACAATGAAAGTAACCTCCTCTCTCTCAAAAACCCTTGGTATTAGGACCAGCGCTGAAGCTTCCATTGGTTCCAGTGTAGCCAGTAGTGATCCTTTTCATGCTAAAGGTCACATATTCAATTCTTGCTGCCGCTGGTTACAAAAGATCCAGCTGCCAGGGTTTCACCCCCTGCCATGACATTTGGGAAAGGGGCTACCTTCCCTGTAGGCTACTCAGCAATGGAGGTGATAACTGAGCGCTCCCAATCATCTGAGGTGAGGGCATGGCCACCGGGGAATACTAAGGGCCAGTTGAAGGAGCTTGGTAGGTTTAAGTTTCCCCATGCCTGTCTTAGTAGAAGGAGCCAGCAAAAGGCTATGAGCACATATGAGGTATCAAAACCTTATGAAACCTTATATTTCATACCAGATTAAAATGCAACTCTTTATGGTGAACTTCTTTTCTATAAACTTTAAATAAAACATCTTTGGTTAATTTTTTTGCCGGCTCAGTTCAGTTATTTTTCTACTGCTGGAATTTGACAAAAAGTTTCTGTCACTATTAAATATGTGTGTGTGTGTGTGTGTGTGTGCGCGTGCGTGCGTGCGTACATGCATACACCTATATATGGCTTGCTTTATTCTGTTTTTATTACCATTTCTTAGCTGCTTGGAGTGTATTTGGAGAAACATGCATACATAATAAACAAAAAATGTGGCAGACCTCTGTTAGAGACCTGTTACCAGTTATAGTTGCACAATAGTAAGGCAGCTTCCTATGTTCTACATCTGAGTAATAGAGTCCCCCCCATCTTACCTGGGCTTATCTGTGGATTCTCATTCTGCATGGTCATAGTGTAGGCCAGTCTACTGACTCTAGACGTTTCTAGAATTTCTCTCCCCAGCCTTTCAATTGGTGGGTCCAGTGTCGCCCACCTTCTAGTAACTCTGGATAGTTCATGTATAAGGGGTGGCCATTGTCTTAGCATATTCCTTTTCTCTCTCTTTTTAAAAAATCTGTTAAAGTTCTGATTAAGTTTTAGCATAGTTCATACTGTTGTTGACAACCTATTGTCAATTGCAATGGGGCACCTCTTAATAC